AGTGACATCACACAAGTCTGAAATGCATTCAGAAATCGGAAACTTTTCGCGAAATTTTTGGTCTATTAAATAAATCGGAAAAGCATTAAAGTTTGCAAAAAAGTGTTAAAGAATACATAAAATTTTTATTATTCACCAATTGAGTAAACTTACGAGACAGAATCATAAAAAGGAGCGAAGAATGCCCAACTACCACCCAAATCATACTGATAAAACGCATGAAGTGTAGCGGGCCTATTTGACCAGATTTTTGCGTATTTGCCACGTCTAATATATCTTTAGTATTTCGAATTACAGAAAATGCCATTAAAAGTTGCGTTGAAATCGCTTAAATTTCATTTCAAATTATTTTTTAATATGTAACTTGTTCAATATTTTTGTTTTTTGTGTGCATTTTTTATAATTTCTATGCAAAAGCACAGAAAGATAAAATTGCCTTTATTTTGAATCAAAAGTCATTTCAGAATTAACAACACTTTTCACTTATGTTTTTTCGAACAAATATTGCAAAAATTATTAATTTATAAAATAATAATTCAGTTATTTTTTGAATAGTCTGAAAACAAATGTTAAAGATTAGTTATTTTTGCAGCAAATAATAGTCTTAGCCTTTGTTTTTATTTCACAAAAATAAATTAATAATAGTATAACTTGAAACTTTATTAATCTTTAATACTTGTTAAACCTTAAAAGTTTTCTCAAGTATAGCTATGGTAGTAAGTAATGATATGAATAATGTTCGGCAAAAATTACCATTTTGATTAGCATTCTTCAAATATTCATTACAACTAAAATATAAAATAGACAAGTCGTAGAGTGTTGCCAGCGCAACAATAATACCAATTAATGAAATTAAAAACCTTCAAAACAAAAATAACTTTTTAATAAAAAGAGATTTTAGAAATTAGTTCAAATGGCATATTCATAAATATTCAATTTAATACATAACTGTAACAGAACTATCACTAAAAATGTTTATTGAAAACTTTTAAAAAAGTTTTTTTTGGCAATAATTATTGTTTGTATTTTGACAATTAGTTCCAAATTTGAGTGTAAGCAAAAATCGCACCTATTATTTGCTATCAAACATTTACTACTAAAATGTTTAAGTATTACTATTACTTTAAAAATACTCAAAATCAAGCTATAAATAAAAAGAATTAATTGTGTGTCAAAAAATTCAAATTCTCGAAAAGATACACAACAATCTACGTTTTATAATCCACAGGTCTCACTGGAACTGATGCTTGTTTTACAAAACAAACACTTTGGCTAACTGAAAAATATTATTAATTGAAACATTTTATACATTTGCGTATGTTTTTTTATTTATTAAAATACCCGTCTTAAAAACAAACTCAATGCTCAGCAAAGTGAAACTGAATGTTACTGAAATTTACAAAATATAACAATGCAATTAATTAACTTTCTTACTAATAAAATTTGATTAAAAAATGCAGAAAAGTGAACGAGTTTCGTTTTCAACTTATGCAAACCTTTAATGAGTTCTTGATATTTACTAGTTGCAATTTCTGTTTAAAGAAATTAGATACGCTATAATATAAAGCTTGTGATTAAATTATTGAATTTTATTCCAATATTTGTAACTAAAAACTTTTTTGAATTATTTAATGCTAAATTTGTGTAAACGAAGTGTATTACATTTTCGAGCAAGCGTGATTAACGTGTTGTAGTCATCACATGATGAAAATATGCAAATATCAAATGATGGATTACCAATTCCATATTCATCAAATATACAAGCACCATCTGCATCATAATTTTTGAAATTTCTATCAAGAATTATTCTGCAATAATTACAAAATATTTGCTTACAAAATTAATGTGTTCTAATTGTAAAATACATTCGTAGTTAACATAATAATTTGAGACAAACATTTAGGCTTTTTTTGTCAAAAAATATAAAAGTTATTTTCAAAATTGAAAAAAATTTCAGGGAGAATATGCAAAAAATAAGTTTACTGATATTTGGTAATTTGAAAAATTGATATAAAGTCGTACCTCACGTATCTTCCCGTAACAGTACGTTCTGAATTTGGTATTTGCCCTTTGACCAACATGCATTCCTTATATTGTCCGAATGTTATAAAATGACCTCGAAGAATACCGGCAGGAAATTTTGCAGCAGCATCGATCACTGTGAAGATTTTTGCAAAATTAATGATTATTTTTTGTCACTATGCATTGTAATATAATGGAAATACAGTAGTCAAAGTATATGTACTGTAAATTTTTTTGTAAATTATTAATACTATTAATTTATTGTTGTCTAACACAATTTTGAAAATTACATTTGATTAGAATTTTTATTTATTTTAATCGAATAAAAATTCTAATCAAATGCGATTACAAATATATAAATGAATTCAAACACTGTAATTAAAATAAATTTCGTGAAAAAAGTTTTGAAATGTATTCAAAACAAAAGTTAAATACAAGTAACACTATTATAATATATTATAAACCAAATGACACAAATTATTGTTATTATAAATACTAACTTGGAAGTATTGCATCCTTGTAGTACAATTTTAGCTCAGCTGTTAATCCTCTTTGCGTTATTAGCTGGGAGAAAATTTGTCCAGATAACTTCATATCCATTTTACAATCTGGAATACTGCCATGAAAGTCATTAATAATTTTTAAATGCTCGACTTGAAAAACTTACTTCAAAATCAGACCTTTTTATTATATTAGCTCCGGATAATCAGACAATTTTTTAAAAGGCCTGCAAGATCTTTATCCATTTAGATAATAATTTTTATTTGTAATAATTTTATCGATATCATTAAATATTTCAGTGTATTGAATATTTTCTAGTTTCCTAGAAAACTTCGCTATTATTATTAACTAACGACCATAAAATAA